AGTGGCTCACATAAATATACGCTCTTTAGACAGAAAGTTGTGATCATGGTGAACGTTGTGATGTTATTGCTCTTACATTATAACTCATGTTTTCAATAAGTAATGTAGAACATAAGCAACATAGAACCCCCTCGTTCCAAGTCAGCTGATAAACTAGGGATCAGCCAACTGGTCCTCCCTAATTAGTGCTTTGGGAGAGAATGCCCAAGGAGTACAGAAGAACAAAACCTTACATTCCTCGGAGACCTATTGTTACAACCTAAAAAGCTTACACGTAAAACCTGGGAAAATTCCTTGCTTTGATATTTTCCGACTATATTTCGCGAGTCTCCGTTTTCATAAACTCCCAAATGTTCTATCCTTGCATTCATTCAAACACCTTTGGTGTAAAATAAAAAATCTGTTCACTCAAGTTCGCGAGGGAATTGTTACTACTCTCGAATGTTACCAATACGATACTAAACACATAGGTTTTACTTAAAACATTACTAATACACAAAAACAACTTTCAAGTTTGGTGTGGTCAATTATGACCACGTTATAGGCCTAAGTATGAAAAATCCTGCAACTCCAGTGTTTGACTATAGTCTATATTTACGAGTATAAATGAAGATACTGCCATTTAAACTTCCTTAGTCCAGTAAGTAATTCGGTTATTGACATCTTTACGACCTTCCGTAACATAATGCAATTGAGTTTTTCTCCATGCTAAACCGAATTCGCACCAATATCAAATTTACTAGATAAAAAAAAAGCTAACGATAAAGTTTTTTTTTTCTTTTTTTTTTTTTTTTTTTTTTTTTAACGTTCTTCTTGAAAAGTGAAACTTTTGCTTTCAAAATTAGACATCAATCTTGCATTTCAGTTTTGTACTCAAACAGGTTTTTCTTCCATGCTGTTAAAGTAATTGCATCCTTTGATTATAAACTACAACTTGACGATAAACTTTTTCAGATAACACAGTATATTGGATTATCTCCAAACCTTGCATGCTATTAAACGATTTGGTTTTAAGATTCATTGAATAAGAAACTATTATTGTCCATTTTACATTTCTAAGCAGAAAAAAAAGGTCAAATGTAAAACAAAAAAAAATATTTATCTAATATATAGATGCATTCAGTTATTCTCTTCTAAGATTCTTTAATTTTAATTGTTAAGAATGATAATGATAAATCCTCACTTTCTCAAATAAGAAACGTTTTCTCTATACCTTCTTAATTTAGATGTTTTTTTTCAGAAAACACGTACAACTATTAGTATTAATGGCGAAGTATGGTACAAACAATTAACACAACAGGAAAACAAGTTTTTGAACTCTAAGACTATAGTAAGTCACATAGATACGCATTATTAAGTTTATTTCAGCGTAAAGCCACGTTGGGTGCTGTCCGTTATGTGCACTGCGGGGAATCGAACCTCGGATTTTAGCGTTGCAAGTGTAAACTTTTCAGACAGACAAACAAAATACCGTAAAAAGCATTTTACTCCTTTATTCTGAAATCGACTTGACAGAACATTAACTAAAGTAAATTTTAAAAACTTGCATTATTTGATTTACGTAAATTTTGACAACATATTTACATATGCATTACATGACTTTTCACAACGGTATTTATTTATAAAAGAACATTCAAATACACCACACACACACACACACACACCGATCGCCGGTTTCAAGAGGAACAACAAATTAAATTGAATAACTAAACAATACTGCAACTTTCTTCAATCTCTTTCTAGATTATAGATCTTTTGTAAACCTAATACAAATCTACCTACTATTACGAGTAGATTGTATTGAACAGTCGTGCTAATCCACTGACAAATATTTTGGCTATTACATAACATCAATAACGCATCACAAATACAAATTCTAGTTTATGTGATCCTTTTAGTCAAAAAATATAACTTGCCCTTACTGACCAGAATTGCAATAGTGAAAATGCACATTTAAAAGCCTAAGGTAAAAGTAAGAAACCTGTAAAACTTACTATTAGTATTACTTAACTCAAAGAGACGAATATTACAGAATTACGTTTGATAATATACAAACCTACATTACTGGATTATAATTCATATCGATAGTATAAATAATATACACAATTACATATACATTTGCCAATTCTAGATACATTTCACCACACATTCCGGAAATCACGCATTTTACGCCGAAATCCGAGAAAAGATTAAAATACAGTTACTAACTATTTCTATTTTACCCATACATATTTTGGTTGCTTGAATAAATTACGAGTATGCAGAATTTTCGTTTGTGAAAACTGACTTGTTAATAGAATTTTCATACACGATACTGATAACCAACACTTCCCTGTTGATGATAAATTACAACAGAGTACTACTAGTAGGTTGATTTTCTATTTAAGTATATTATGTGGCAAGACCAAAGTTTTTGTATTTTACATACTTAAAGATAGTTTCACACAACGAAAACGATAAAATTTACTAACTAAAATTTCAAAAAGTGATCACAACCTAACACTACTTAATGAGATGGTATAATCTTAAATATCGCACGTTCCTTTTAAACAGGAATTACATAAACACATTCTTCCTTCCTTTCATTACTCGTAGTAGAACTACTTCGAACTTGTATACTTAGTAACAGCCTTGGTGCCTTCCGATACGGCGTGTTTGGCTAGCTCTCCGGGAAGCAGAAGGCGGACTGCAGTCTGTATTTCCCGACTTGTAATGGTCGATCTCTTATTGTAATGAGCCAGGCGAGAAGCCTCAGCAGCAATTCGCTCAAATATATCATTCACAAAACTATTCATTATTGACATGGCTTTACTTGAAATGCCAGTATCAGGATGCACTTGCTTCAGTACTTTATATACATATATGCTAAAGCTCTCTTTCCTTTTTTTTCGCCTCTTTTTCTTGTCCCCTGCACGAACAGCTTTCTGTGCTTTACCAGCTTTTTTTACTGCCTTACCACTGGGGGTTGGTGGCATGATTATTATGAATTATTTTAACGTATCCACTAATTAAATTCACACGCACACACTCAACCATATACACCAGCTCTGCTTGCGATTTGCGACTTTAAGTTTACTATTTATATCACAATGAACGATTGAATTTACTTCTAACGCGGCCGTAAGAGAAAGCTAAGTGTAGGTTTCTCCAATCATAAAATTGATTTTTCCAAGACTAACTTTCATTGGGTAAGTTTTCAACAAATGAGGAATCTTAGTTACAGTCTTTCAATCTTCATTTGGTGCAATTTCAAATAAACAACTAAAATTATTTAATTTTTATACTAACTAAGGAAAACTTTCATCTTTTTTTGAATACTCATTTTTCATCAAGACAATAAATTTTTGATCATTCACTAAAGTATACTATCTTTGTAAAATGATTATTCATTTACTATACCAATAATTCTGTATGTTTGCTTCTTTTTTGTAATTATTTGCTATAAAAACCGATATTTAGTAATTTTTAAATTTAGAGAAAGAATGAAGTTACTTTAAGTGAAGATGAATTAAGTGATAAAAGTTCGATCTGTGAAGGTCTTTGGCCAAAGCAATGACCACTTAACTCATATACATGTATATAGCGATTTTTAACGATTCTTTGTATTTTCATATTTAATCATGCTAAAATTGTGTTTGTTTGTTAAATATAAACAATTAACAGAAAAATAATCTTAACAATCCTAAAATACAGGTATGCATGTAGATATGACAACCTTTTAACCTAACATCATTGATGATAACAAAACCTTGTCGAAACGTTGTACATTTGCTGTTATGTTAAACTCATATTGAATTTTTTCTTCATTGCCCATTCAAGCCGTTTCCAAGTATTATTAGTCTCAAAGTGGGTTCATCGTCATCGAATTTAACATCATTTTAATGTGACCTCTGGTGGGTCAGCGGTAAGTTCCAAACTTGCAACAAGAGAATCATGGGCTCGATCAACTTCAATAGACTATTGTGTGGCTTTCTGGTTAAAAAAACGCATTTTAAGTTGTTGTTTTTTAAATAAGCAGAAGAATTGCGAAATTCCTTAAATACCAACAAAATGTGATAGTATTATTTATTCAAATGGATAATTCTACAACAGTCATTATTGCAAAAATGTTATAAATGGATCTTTGCTTCTAAGTTCACAACATTGAAATAATTCCAAATACGTGCATTAGTGATTCTTAACAATGAGTTTAATTCTAAATGAAATAAAATATTGCAACATATGCATTATTTTTCTTCTCTTCTAATCTACTTTCAGTGATAGCAAATTTTACGAGCGCCATCTAACGGTTACAGCTGGCTTTTTTAACTTGCAAATTTTGATCAGGATGGGTTTTCTTGGTTCTAATACTACAAACAACAAATAAAATATGTTCTACTAAGGCCGGCAGCCGAAGAAACATGTCTATATTCATAGAAGTATAGTAGATGTTTATTTGTGTGTCAAAGTTGATTATATCTGTTTATCTGGGGTTCTTTCGGATGCATACTTATAAAGCAGAAAAATAGTTTCCGTTCCAGTTACCATCATGATGTGATACAGCATAGCGTTAGCTACCTGTGTGTTCAGCATTTTATAAAACTTTTCCTCTGTTTCTTATTTTTTATTTTTGTGCAGTATAAAACAAAACAAAATATACGAACTACCAGAGATGATGGACACTACACCATTTCAAAAGTAAAGACATTTTACTGTAAAAAACAAACAAATAAAAAACTAAAACTGTAAAACAATTACTGTAACTTTGCATGCCAAGGAGGCAGGTTAACACTATATACCATTTAAAAACTTATAACACAGGTTGATAAATGTGCATTGTATGTTTGGAAATAATATATCATAACTACTTTTAGGTTTTCTATTAATATGAAGTGGAACTTCAAATATGAATAGTATTTATAAATTTATATATATGAACATATATCATAAATAGTTAATATTTGTAAAATTGCAAATTCTTACAAAAATGGGAAATTTTCAGAAACTTCTGTTTTTTTCTCAGTTTGTGTAATAATGCGTATTTTTTATCTGAGATTTATATACTATTTTCTCTTAAAGTACAAGTTTGTTTGTTTTAAGCTCAAAGATACACAATGATCCCTTTGTGCTCTGCTCACGGTGGATACCGAAACCCATTTTTAGCGTTATATCACCTCAACATCCAGACAATCCAAACAAAGCCCTATAAAAGGAGAAAAGCCACGCAAGTCCAGCCGCCTTTTGAGCCCTCCAACGACAACATTCCTTCGATAAATACTCCTGAATACCCATTGAAGACTTGGTCCGAAGACGTCGCATTCGACAAGATGTGCGTGTTTTCAGGCTTCGAAAAATGGAGGAGAAACTCCCAAGAACATTTCAGCCGAATTTCGCGGATAAGCTGGTAGATGATATTTGTGGGCACCAGCGAGTGGTGAGGTAAATCAGGTAAACCAACTAGTGTTCGAGAGAACAGCAAAGGAGATGTAAAGCACCAGCATGTAGAATGGCACAAATGTTTTTTTTTTAAATTTTCTGAGGGGGAGTCATGCTCCTAGACCCCGTAGTATTAGCATGTCTTGCAAGCTGATTGTGCTTCGCACAATATGTGTTGGTTTTTGATCTCACAAATTAGAACCTCGCTATTGAAACTGTGACTGGCAATAAAGAGAGATAAAGTTTGAACACATCTCTGTAAACCTCTCATTTACAATATGCAACTAAATCTGATTACCTTTCCTTTCAGTCGGAGAGTTTAGACGACATTTGCAGATGATCGAGCAAACAACTTGTACTCAGAAACCAGAAATTTACAGCTGATGTATCTTACATAGAATGCAGCCAAGGCTTGCAACATACGGGGTTTTCTCTATACTTGGAGACAACAAACAATTATTGAACATCAATGGTTATAACACGTTTGCAGAAAATCCAATTCTTATACCTCACAGCATCAAATTTAACATTTCATAATGTGACTTGAATTTAACTTTTAGTTCCAATATAGAAGAACCCTTTCTAGTGCGAAGTTGACTACTGTCTGCTTTTCTTTAAGCTGTTGCAAATTGTTTGTTAAATGTTCCTCATTTTTCATGATTTCAAATTCTGAAAAAAACAAAAAAACTTGAACTTAATGGTGCTATTTATGTCCTCGTCTTGCATGTATTTGGTAGCCACATTATATAGTTTCAAAAGTTCACAGATAGTGATCAGGCAAAGATATAATCCAAAGTCTATAACTTTTAAGAGGGGTGAATCTTCATCAGCAAATCCATAGTCAAATTACCATCGTGCATAATATACTCTAATGCATAATTTATAACAATAATTGTGCTGGCAACTAAAGTACAATTTTCTACTCAATTTAAACAATGTGTTGTGCGCAGTGACTGTGGTGCACCAGTTCCTTTAACTTGCAGTTGCTTTTGAATGCCCTTGAAAAGACCATAATTTTCTTGCTGCGTTTAGTAAATGAAAACAGTTCCTATACTACCCCAGAGCTTATTCATCATTTTGTTCTTCATACATATCCGTCCCCAACCAATAAATTTAATCAGTTTACAAAATATGCTTTTGGAGCTAACTCTTTCACACGTGTCAGTAGCCCGATATAATGGTCAGACATTGTAAAACAGCCATCATATTCTTGGTCAAATGAAAAATCATGCTCTTCAAAAAAGATTCTGTACTGACTGAAGTTTTGGCTACCTACATACCATATTACTATAAATATGATCCACTTTGTGTGTGTGTTTGTGTGCGTGCGTGTGTTAGCATCCATCATTCAGAATTGGCTGGCTGATTACCTTAATTTTTGGTATGGCAAGTGGAAACTGAAATAGAGCACATTTCCACTTATTTATACACTTTTGGCTAAGAATTTAAAGACACGAGTACTCAATCAATTAAATTAATCAATTACTATCTTTCACAAAGCAGGGTATGCAACTAGGATCAAATGAGGAGGGATTTACTAATAACATAAAGAAAGAAGGAAAACTTTATCTAAAATTTTTCTTTATAGAATTTTTACTTCCTTAACGGGTACCCTCAGCTAGTATTTAGTAAATATTCGATTACTTTTCTACTTGTAACTTACCACTGACCTACACGGGGACGTTACCAACAGTGGTACAATTATACTTTGAACAACACAGTTTTGGTTAAAGAGTACAAAAGTAGAATATTATTAAATTAATTCGAGAGTAAAATCGGTATAATTTCGAAACCTGAAGAATTCAAAGTAAAAAAAAACAGATAGAAACCATAGTTTTATGACCATTAAAAAATAAGTATGGATTCCTTGCCGATTTATACTGATATTAGTTGACCTACCTGTTCAACGCGCGGGAAAGACATGGAAGAGGAAGGGGGTCAGATCCGAATAATGCCGAACCTTATACCTCAACTCTTAGGGAACCTAAGGATAAATGCTAGGTTTGGTGCCAATTGGTCCATCGGTTTGCCAGTTGTAAGCGGATACATACAGACTTCTGTCAAGTAATAGTTGACTTTTTGAAAGGATCAATGTTTTAGTTTGTTAGAAATGTTTGTTTTCATAAGCTTTCTTATATTTGCAAAAATAGAAAAAAAAAAAACAATTCTAGTACTTCTTCCATACCTGTTTGAATTGGGAAAATGAATAAAGTTTGTTTTTTTCTTGTTGTTCTGTACTTCATTGAAGTTTTGGATCTGAAAAATACCGTTTCCCAAACGGTTACGGCGCTGCTATACTGTACCCAAAACTCAATGATTACAGTAGTTTATACAGTCAAAGAGAGTGTTGTTGTTTTTGTAAAACTGAGTAGATTTTTGTACATTTTAGTACAATATTTTACACGTTTTTTATTTACCGGCAATTTGAATAAAGAGGTTTTGGGGGCCCTACTTTTGAGTATAATTGATTTTCTTGAAAAAAAAATTACAATTGACACATAAGGAGCTAGCTGTTCAAAACAAAAAAAAAGGTTAAATTAAACTTTTCGAATTGTTAAATTATACTTACAGCCCTTACATGGGGTTTAAAGGGGATTGTTTCTCTGGGCTAGAGTCACGGATTTAGATGTAAATTAG